ATAGTTTCATATTTCAAACTTCAATGTTTCTAATTTACACCTTTCTTTACTATATTTTGCAAAAAAGGTAGAAACATTAATACATATATCTTTCTGTTTAATTGCTATTAAAATTTTTAAAAAATTAATTTCCAGGGGGCGCTGAGTAATATTTTTTCTGGAAAGGGGGCGGCAGGCCAAATAAGTTTGGGAACCACTGCTGCAGGCTGATGCTCTAGCCACTGAGCTAAATCAGCTAGGGCAACGTTTTCATTCTTGAGGCTAAATCAGATTTTCCAAATATGGGTTTTTGCATCTTTGCTTATAGAAAGCCTTGCCCTTTCTGACATTAGATAAATATTGTTCTTTATTTCCTTGCTGAACTTTCATGGTATTACGTAATCATTTCAAACATCTAAATATTAAAGTTTAAAGCATTCTGATATTCTTATACTTTGAAGTGACAGAAGCAATATACAAAAGAATATGTACTTTATAAAACAAATTTTTACAAACAGAAAAATACACATAAATGTATATGCATGCACAGAGATACTGCAAGTAATAGACAAGATCGCACCATATGTGCCCGATCGGCATGTCTCAGTGGTTGAGCTTTGAACCAGGAAGTCATGGTTTTATTCCCCGTCAGGGCACATGCCCAGGTTTCAGGCTTGATCCCCAGTGTGGGGCATGCAGGAGGCAGCCAATCAATGATTCTGTTATCATTGATGTTTCTAACTCTCTGTCTCTTCCCTTCCCTTCCACTCTAAAAAAAAAAAAAAAAAGAAGAAAGAAAAAAAAGGTGGCGGAGCAGGGAGCCAGAGATCTGGGCCCTTCATACCATCCCTGACGCAATTATAACCAACTTGCCTGAAACTCACCCTACCACTGGAATGCCTGTTCTGTAGACCAGTGATGGCGAACCTATGACACGCTAACTCTCTGTCTCTTCCCTTCCCTTCCACTCTAAAAAAAAAAAAAAAAAGAAGAAAGAAAAAAAAGGTGGCGGAGCAGGGAGCCAGAGATCTGGGCCCTTCATACCATCCCTGACGCAATTATAACCAACTTGCCTGAAACTCACCCTACCACTGGAATGCCTGTTCTGTAGACCAGTGATGGCGAACCTATGACACGCGTGTCAGAAATAAGTTAGCTTGAATCAAGGTTTTCTTTTTTTTTTAAATATATATTTTATTGATTTTTTACAGAGAGGAAGGGAGAGAGATAGAGAGTCAGAAACATCGATGAGAGAGAAACACCGATCAGCCGCCTCCTGCACATCCCCCACCGGGGATGTGCCCGCAACCCAGGTACATGCCCTTGACCGGAATCGAACCTGGGACCTTTCAGTCCGCAGGCCGACTCTCTATCCACTGAGCCAAACCGGCTTCGGCTCAAGGTTTTCTTTTGTTTAAAGCTAAAAGCATCTTAACTGATACAATAAACCTTGTAGATTTTTCTGGAGGCAGAAAAATCTGGATCATCAGATAGACACTCTGCCACTTCCAAGCTGTGTCATCTCAGACAAAATATTAATCCTCTCTGTGCCTCAGTTTCCTCATATGTGAAGTGAGAACAATACCTGTACTTCACAGAGTTGCTCTGGAAAGCTTTAAATAAAGTAATGTAAGTCAAGCTCCTTATTACTATCATAAAGGTATCTTGGAGACAGAAAACAACATAAAGTCACTTATATATCTGTATGCTCTCCTATTTCCAAGTTTTTACCCTGATACCATGTCTCTCCCATGCAGCAACCCCCCTCACCTGCTCTCAGCTCCTCCCTTCATAAGCATAAGGATATCCTTTTACATAATTACAGTGCAAGCATAAATTCGGAAATTTCCACATGGACACATTATCTGATATAAAGCCCATATTCATATTCTGTCATTTGTTCTAATGTCCTTTGTTTCACCTTTTCCTCCCCAATCCAAGATCACACATTGCATTGAGTTATCATGTGTTTTTATCTACCTTTCATCTGGAACAGTTTCTCAGCCTTTCCTTGATCTAATTCATTAACTTGTTTTAAAGAATATGGGCCCTTTATTTTGTAAAGTGTCCATAATTTTTTTTTTACTGCTTTCAGAGAGAGGAAGGGAGAGGGGGAGAGAGAGAGAGAAACATCAATGATGAAAGAGAATCACTGATGGGCTGCCGGCCGCATGCCCACCACTGGAGATTGAGCCCACAATCCAGGCATGTGCCCCGACCAGGAATTGAACTGCGACCTCCTAGTTCATAGGTCGGCGCTCAACCACTGAGCCACACTGGCTGAGCAAGTGTCCACAAATTTGGTTTTATCTGACCCTCCTTCCTCCCTCCCTCCCTCCCTCCCTTCCTTCATATCTTCCTCTTTTGTTGTTCTTTGTTTACAAAACCCGAAGGGAATTTATTGAAAGGAGATGAGAGCTCACAGAACTACAGGCAAAGTTGGAGTAGAGAAAACCATCAGGGCAGTCCTGGTGGAGGAAATGAATGGGCTCCCCATGGAGCTCTGTGGAGGACATGACATCTTCTCTGTTTTTCTCTGGTGACTTTCAGGAATGTAGTGGGCAGTGGGACTGGCTTTCTGGCCATGCAATTATGCTTTGAAGACCGCCCTGCTTGGTTCACTGCTCTGCTGTTGCCATTTTAAAATTCTTAATAATTGCAGACCGTGCATTTTCATTTTATTAAGAGTTTAGTTTGTTTTAGAGCAATTTTAGGTTCACAGCAAAACCGAAGGGAAGGTGCAGAGATTTCCCATGTATGTCCTGTCCCCACATACAGAACTTCCCCCCGAGTGATACGTTTTTGGAAGGAACGTCACAGAAGTAATGATATATCCTTCTCCTTCCTGGGGCATTTCACCAGAAGATACATGGTATTAATTTAGTATTGTTCATGTAAATTTTTTTTAAATCCCCACCTGCGGGTATTTTTTCATTGATTTTAGAGAGGGGGAAGGTAGAGGCGGGAGGGGGGTAAATACTGATGTGAAAACTATTTATTGGTTGCCTTCTGTGCCTGTGCCTACCATGGGTTAAACCAGCAACTTGGTTATGTGCCCTGACCCAGAATCGAACCTGTGACCCTTTGGTGCACGGGACATTATTCTAACCACTGGGCCACACTGGCCAGGGCTGTTCGTATTACTTTTTTTGTTCATATTAATTTTGATCATTTAATTAAGGTGGTGTCTCCTATAGATCTCCACTTGAAAATCAACATTCCATACTCTTTTTTTTAAAGAATATTTTTGTTACTGATTTCAGAGAGGAAGGGAGAGATAGAAACATCAATGATGAGAGAGAATCATGTGTCCCTGGCTGGAATCAAACCTGGGACCCCCCAGTCTGCAGGCTGATACTCTATCCATTGAGCCAAACCAGCCAGAGCAAGAGCAATTTTTACTGAAGTTAATATATATTTATAAAAACTATAAATATCTAATTTTATATCTCTATTGTTTGTTGTATATAACAAGCATTAGAAAGTCATCATTTTGAAGTC